CTATAACTAGTTGTAACTAGTCTACTAAGTACGGGCGGGGGGGGGACATCATCTTACTCATCTTCAGTGCTTTCTAGTTTCATTTCTTCAGCATTTGGCCTGGCAACCAGAGGTAGATGCCCTAAATTCAGCAGAGAGGCCTTGTACCCCATCCTGGACAGTTGTATTTTTTAAGTATTTACTTTAGAAGAAAAGAGGAAATAGGAAAAAAGACATTACAAAAATACAGATATTACATAGAAAATTTTGCAGAGGAAAAAAGAGATAAGATTGAAAGAAAGTACAGAGTGTTCCATTGAAAAAGCATCTTTATTTTCATCCTTCTGTATCAGCTTGGATAGAAACAAATGCTATATGAAGATAGCTTCACAACAGTTTAATACTTTAACTCTTTCAAAGGTGTTACCTTTAAATGATTAAAGTCAAAATTTAGCTAAGAAATCCAAGCAATAAAAATAAACAGTCATTGCTAAAGAGTTTAGAACCTTATTTTAAGAGAACCCAACTCTCAGACATGGCCACAAAACATGTACAAAATTGTACTCTGTAAAGTAAATGGTTTCCAGGTTAAATTAAAACTAACATCACACTTGTTTTTCATGGATGAAATTATTTTGGACATTAGTGGGTCCTCCCATAGCTTCAGCTACCATTTCTCTAATGAAAAAATTATCCCACGACAATCACACCCAGCACAGCCCCCACTGCTCAGAAAAATAGCTATAGAAATTGGCAGTGGGAGTAAGAAGAGAGGATGCTCAGTGCATAAGCTCCCTTCAGCTTACACTGCTATCCAAAGATTCTTGCAGTTCCTTAAAAACAAAGAGGATTTGAAACTTTTGATGACAGGAGGATAATTAGTGCTAGTACTGTGTTCTTTGACACAGCTTCCCATCACTTGGAAACTCTCCTAGCTTCCCACCCTTGCCAATCTGAAAAGTCCTGTAAAGCAGTGTTGTGCAAACTTGGCCACTTTAAGATGAGTGGACTTCAACTCCCAGAATTCCCCTTGACAACTTTTACAAACAGTTCTTGGGACAGCTGGGAAGAACACAGTCAAAGGAGCCAAACGTTAATTCAAAGTGTGGATGGCCATCACAGCACTTTCGAAGGAAGGGTCAAGGGTACTTCTGACTCATGTCATGACTCATTAGGGATGTGACAGCCCTGGGAGGGACCTGGGGTAGTGAACACAAATCTCATTCAATGGTTTGTTTGTTTATTTCAACTTCAGCACCCTCTGACTCCAGGTTGACTCTGGGAGGTTCACAATATAAAAACAACACAAATGCATGGAAATACAATGAGGGAAATTAACAAAATGGCCACCTAGATGACCGACATCAAAACATATGTAACATATGATAAACATATTTAACAAGGGGGTTCCATCTACCCTAACCCAAGGCCTAGGAGAACATGCAGCTCCTTAGGTCTTCTGGAATGACATCAGGGTGGAAGCCATCCAGATCACAGAAGAAATGAAGAAGCACGAGGATGGATGTTCAACTCCATTCCGGCTCTGCCACAGGTCATCAACAAGCATGACCAAGGGTGTCTCCATACTGAAATGTGACTGAAATGGGTCTAGATAAACTGCTTCCTCTGGGGTCCTCTGCAATTGCAGCCCAAATACCTTCTCAACAAGCTGAAAGACTGGATGGTAGTTGTCTAAGATAGTTGGGTGCAAGGATGATCTCTTGAGGAGGGGGCACACCACCATCTCCTTCAAGGCAGAAGGCACCACCCCATCTCTCAGAGGCCGACACCACCACATGGGGCCAACTACAGCCCCTCTACAGACATCTTAATGATCTAGGAGGGTCCTGGGTCCAACAAACAGATGGCTGAACTTACAGTACAGAGAACCTGGTCCTTTTCTTCAAGTCTTACAACTCAAACTCATCCCAGATCACATCACCAGACTGAGCTTGGCCGGACTTGCCCAACTGGAGTCCAGCTTGGTGCAGATCTGAGCAGCTTTATCCACCAAATTGCCAGAGTATTCTTCACAGTAGTCCTGCAGATGATCCTGTGGCCCATCCTTGCCTAAGAGAGATCAGATCACCATAAAAAGGGCTACTGGATGGCCATCGGCATACACAATAAGGGTGTGAAATATTGATTGCCATGAGATAATCCCTAATATGGGCTCTTATGTGACTTCTATGGATTTAATAC